CCGTGCCCCAGATTTCCCCAGCTGTAAACATGGGGCTGACGCTCGCTCCGTGTGACGTCCCAAGCGAGGAGGGAAGCAAAGCGAGCAGGGACGGGGAGCGAGGGGTTTCCTCCTGCGTTTTCTTGTCTCTGACTTCAGAGATTGGGAGAGTTCTCAGCACTACGAGAGCCTAATGGTTGTGAAAACGATCTTAAAAGGGTCAAAAGAAAAAAAAAAAAGCCAAGTTAAAGCAACTGCTGCAGAGACACAACCAACCCCTGCCTGAACGATGCCACAAAAGCTGAAAGCTGCCCCCTTCCAGGGGCACTCTGACAACCACCACCCAGCAGAAGCACGTCGCCGTGCCGGGTACCTCAGCGCTGACAAACCAGGCACGAAAGCCGAGAGGATTAAGATGAAAACACCCCGCACGCAGTCCTTTTGGCTGGCCGTGACAGCAGGCACTCGGACGGGCACGCAGTTATTACCAGGGAGGACGGGAGGAGCTGCAAGCCTCACGCAGAGCTTTGCGGAGCCACCTCCACAATTTTCTCCCTGGCACCAACGAAGCTCCCACCTCTGAGGCTACCAAAACGAGGGCTCCGGCGTGGAGGATGCGAGGATGGCAGGAGAGGACTCAGGACCCGGCTGGCACCCCGAGCACGCGGGGTCTCACGCTGCGCTCGGACAAATCCTGCTTTCCCCAGCCCCGCGCTTCGGGAGCAGGTTAATAACAAAAGGCAAAGCCGGGAGGCTGGGGGGGATTCCAGCCTGGGTTAATATTAACAGAGCGAGCGCTGGGTGCTGCGGGAGGAAGGTCAGGAATTGGCAAAATCCCCCAAATCACCGGTCCCAGTCTGTATTTCCAGGTGGCCTCTCAGCCCGGCCACCCTGCAGCACATTGGTGATGGGAACGCCACCATCCCACCACCGCTCGAGGCTGTGGCTTCAATCCAGGCTCTGTCACCAGCAGCTGAAGCCCTGGCAGCGGGTGGCTTGAGCTGAAACATCCGTACGAGCCCCCAGCAGGGCAGGAACAACCTCAGGCTGGATGGGGGGCACGACCCAAACCATCTGCAAAAAGCCAGGGCACCGACAGACAAGCTCTGGTCGAGGAAATGGGCCTCAGTGCGGTTTGTTTTCGGTGGAAGAGGTTATCCTGCAGGCTCTCAGCCCGTTTCCCTTCCAGCAGGAGCCCCTGTGCCACGCAGCACGGTTGTGATGCCCGGAGAAACCCGGCTGCGGGCACGGCAGAGGCGCCCCGTGCCACGAGGGAAAGTCTTGGAGAACGAGAAACCAGAGAGAATGACTTAGTGTTAAAAAAAATAACAAAAAGGTGGCCGTTAAAAGGTATAATCCAGGGAAGGGGGAGGGAGGAAGAACAGCTGGAACCACAGCACGAAGTTGCTGCAGAAAGAACTGCACCCAAATAACGGGGAGCGTGATGCAGCATGGAGGGCAGCTCTCCCCTGTCACCAAACTGTCCCAGTGCGTGAGTTTTTTAAGCGGGTGCCATCAAATTGGGGCAGCCCGGCTGTGGCAGCTCTTTGGGGAGCAAGCAATGGGGTGAAGCCGCTCGCTCCTTTGGGGCCGAAACGCCCGCCGTGGGTCCGGAGCCCACCCCAGCTCTCCGACCCGGCAGCAAGCGAGCACTCCCTGCTCGTGTCCAAAAATATCTTGGGAAGCCTTGAGAGCAGCCATCAAACTCAGGAAAAAGCACGGTATGTCAAGGGCTCGTTAGCTGTAATTAGCGCTCCCCTCTCGGAAAACAGCTTTTGTCTTTTGCACAGGGGGGGGGGAGGAGGAGGAGGAGCCCAGCGGTTCCAGGAGGAAGGACACAGCACAAGGGGCAGTGGCCACCAAATGGAGCCCAGGCAGTTCCGCACCAACACGCCAAAGAACTTCTTCCCGGGGAGGGTGCCGGAGCGCTGGGACAGGCTGCCCAGGGAGGCTGGGGGGGCTCCTTCTCTGCAGATATTCAAGGCCCGTCTGGACGCCTCCCTGGGCAGCCTGCTCTGGGGAACTGCTTTGGCAGGGGGGGTGGGCCCGGGGAGCTTTCAAGGTCCCTCCCCACCCCTACAATCCGTGATCCTGTGACCCCATTGGGGACGATGCAGTGGGAGGAAGGCCTCCTGGAGCCAGCGGGGCAGAGCAGCCCGTGCTCTCAGCCCTGTGTCCTTCTGAGTCAGCCAGAGCCGTGGCTCCAGCCCCGGGAGGTGTCCAGCAGCACCGTGTCACCACACAACCGCCTCCACCCCAGGGCTCGTCCCTCGGAGGGGCAGCAGATATCCCAAGCAGCGGTGTGGGCACGTTTCCCGTTCCTCTGCCCCGTTGCACGCAGCCTGGCCGTGCAGGGAGCGTATCAGGTTACCGTGGTTCACGGGAAGTCTTGCAGGCTTTACATTTTCCACTTGGGGACTCCAATCGGTGCGTAGCAAACGAAAAGGGTGCGAAGGAAGCCAGCTCTGCGCATTCCTCGGCGGCCAGAGGCAGAGCGGGGCCGGGGGCTCCCACCCAGCTCCCAGCGATGCCGATTCCTCGTTCCTCCCCTGGGAGAGCATCTTCCATGGGTCAGCTTGATTTCTGTGTGTTTTCTCCCCATCCCAGCACCCCAGGGGGGTGTGGGGAAACCCCAGCCCCTGCTCCGGCCACCCTGGGGGGGCGCGGAGGGGCCGGGAACGCCTCGGTGCTGGCCACGCTCTCCTTCAATTAACAACAGGCGTGGAACGAAACGCGGCGTTTGGGGAAAGATCTTCCACATGTTTGGCTTCGGCAGCATCTAATACCTTCCAGGGAGCCAAAAAATAGCTAATCCTCCTTCGCCCTCAGCCAAGGAGCAGCTGAAGAGTGGGACCAGCGGAGGGAAAGGGAAGAAGGGTGAAAAGGGAAAGGAGAGGAGCGGAACACCGAAAAACGGCAGGGCTGGAGCCGGTCACCCCCAGCTCCCAGCCACAGAGGCCAGAAAGCTGAGCTGCCCTCCTGCATCCCAGCCCCTGGGACGTGAAGAAGGCGGCAGCAGGCTCCAGCCTTCCACACGAGGCCACGCTTTGCTAGATCCTGCAGAGACCTTCGCGTCAGCAGCCGTACTGTGAATATTTCTAGTTCTAAACGACACCGCTTTGTGCAGATCAAATCACCTCCCCAAACCCCACAGCAGAAGGTATTTCATGTGTCAGCGCTCCCCTCGATCGCAGGCGAAGCGCTCAAACAGGGCACGTGCTCAGCAGGCAAGCGGGCCACCAAACCCATGAGCTGGGCTACCGCTCCCCAGCGAGCCGCACGGGGTTTGGCTTTTCCCTTTCCGTCAAAAAAAAAATCAGCTCCGTAACAAAAACGCCCACCAACGACCACAGAGGAATTCAGTTTACGGTAATCCCTCCGGAAAGGTTTCATCGGATGTTTTCGGGAGATGTTTCTGGGCTCAGAGCTGAGCCTTCACCTCCAGCTGCCCTGCTACCCCGCGGCGCATCCGCGCCGTCCTCCTCCCGCTTATTTCCAGCACAACCTTCCCCCGTGGAAGTCATAAAGGGGGAAAAAAAAAAAAAAAAGCGATGTGGGGATTTGTTTTCCTGTTGTGCGGAAGGGGGTGGGGAGCGGCTTACGGAATCTATTATTTTGCTTTGCTGTTGAAGCAAAATGCTTTCGCACAAACACGGCCGAGGAAGGAGCCAGCGCACGTCGCGAGGACACTCGGCCCGAGCTGAGCTGGTTTCGACTTCGAGCCTGGAAAACTCAGCTTCTGGCTGGGTCTGGGCCGAATTCGCCCGCCTCAGATGTAAAACAGGGCCACAAAAGCAGCAGCCGGGGGACCCAGAAGAGCGCTTCTACGAAAGCGTCACCGATTCGTGATTTGTTCCCAAAATAAATCAAAAAAAAATAATAAAATCCCAAGTGCTGATTCCTATGGCGTTAGCAGGCACGAGGACGGCCGAGTGCTCGGGGAGGGATGGGGAATTGGGGATTTGCTGTCCCTGCCGCAGCGTCGGGGTCGAGGCATTGGAGAGCCACGGCTCCGACCTCTCCTTACGGGAAAAAGCGAAACGGTTTCGGCGGAGCAGGAATTGCCCAGCTGAGCTTCTTCCCCACACAGCCAGGCCATTTCCTGCATGGGGAGAGCCAGGCTCCCAACCCACAAATCCCCGTCCCGATCCAGCTGCAGCTTCCACCGAGGGCCGGGGAACTTCCCGGGGTCGCGCCGCAGCTGCAGCCCGCAGCGATTTCTCCTTCCCGGCCTCATCCTGCCCTCCCGACCCTTTTTAATCCTCTCCTCCTGACCCCACGGCTCTGCTCGAAGCCCCCGAGCGTGGCAGCGCTCCAAGATCTCCACATTTTGGGATTATGGAGAAAACCTGCAGCTTTCTGGTGGTCTTCGTGAGCTCCTCAGGGCCGTGCTGGGGACGGGTCCTGCCCCGGGGGGGACGCTCAGCACCTCCCTGCCACCATCCAGCACCGGATCCAGGACACGGCCCCGGTGTGACGGGTCCCTGCTCCCCTCCGTCCCTGCCACCACCCGGGGCTGGGTGCAGGACGCGGACCCGGTGCCCGGTGGGGTCCAGGCTCACGTCCAGGGCCGGATGGAGGACACGGAGCCCGTGCCCGGTTGGGTCCCGGTGCCGACAGCTCCGATCCTCGGCCCCTTCCAGCGCCGTGCGGGGCTCGGGGACGTCTGACGGTGACACCGGGGATGCTGCGGGGCCGCGCCGGTGGCCGTGCCCTGCCACGGGGGCAGCGACCGGGCAGCACCGAGCCCCGGGAGCCCCCCAGGACCCCCCCAGGACCCCCCAGGAGCCCCCCAGGACCCCCCCAGGAGCCTCCCAGGAGCCCCCCGGGAGCCCCCCGGGAGGGGTGGGCGGCGAACACCGGGCCCCATCCCGGGAGCTCCTCACGGGGCTGGGTCCCGGTACCGGCGGGGGGCACCGAGATTTAACGGGGGGGGAAGGGGGGGGCGAAACCGAACCGGGGGCGTTGGTGGAGGGGGGAACCGGGGGAGGGGGGGGCACGGAGCAGCCCCGGTGCCTCACCTGGCTGGCCTTGTAGAACTGCTTCTTCAGCCCCGCCACCGACATCGCTGCCGCCTCCACCGGACACCGGACACCGGAGCTGGGCGGCGGGACCCGACGGGCACAGCCCCCACCCCTCCTCCTCCTCCTCCTCCTCCTCCTCCTCCTCCTCCCCCCCCGGCCTCCGCCGCCGCCGTTTCCGCCGCCAGGAAGCGCCCGCCCCGCTCCCCCCCCCCTCACCCCCCCCTCCGGTGATCCCGCGGCGCCCCCCGGTGGCCCGGCGGAGGTCCTCCAGCATCATAGAGAGGAGACCTCCGGGGGATAGAGCGCCGCCCCTGCCTCTCTATCGCTCCCCCCCCCGCTCTCTATCGCGATAGGCCGGGCGCTGTCGCGGAGCCGGGGTGGTTTATCGGGTGCGACGCGAAGCGAGGAAATGGCCTCGGGGATAAAAATGGACAAAAAGAGATAAAAATACCCAAAATTTAATAAAAAAGCTAAACGGGGACGGGCCCTATCGCAGCAGCGCTGTGGCACCGGGGAGCCGCCGCCAGCCCGTGGGGCCCGGGGGCGGCCAGGCCCGGCCCGGCCCCAGCCGCAGCCTCACGGACGGGGCCGGGGCGGGGGCTCGGGGCCGCGGGCGGCCCGGTGAGAGGCCGGAGGGGCGACGCCGCGGGCGTGAGGCCTTCGCGAGGCCTCCGGGACTACAACTCCCAGCAGCCCCCGCGGCAGCGCCGCCATTTCGCGCATTGGCCCCGGCCCCGCGGCGGAACGCGTGCTGCGGCCTCCCCTCCCGCCCCCTCCCCCCGCCCCTCTACCCAATCACCGCCTCCAAACCCTTGGAGCGACACTCCGAGCGGCCAATCAGCGTCGCCGCTGGCGCGGCCCAATGAGGCGGAAAGCTGGCGGCGGGGCGGAGCGGGCGGAAGGGCGGGTCACGTGGGCGCGCTCCGCCTATCAGCGCGCCCAGGCGCGGGGTCGCCCCGGCTCCCGCCAAATACGAGCGGGAGCCGCCGGGGCGGGACCGGACGGGCCGGGGCCGCTCGGGGCCGCTCGGGGCCTCTCGGGGCCTCTCGGGGCCGCTCGGCCTCGGCCGCCACCACCGGGAAGGGCCGCGCCGCCCCCGCCATGGCAGGTAGGGCCGGGCCCGGGGCCACCGGGGCCTTCCCGAGGCCTCCGTGAGGTAACAAAGGAGGCCCCGGGAGCGGGCTCGGGCCCGGCCCAGCCCCGCCGGTGAGGCCTCGGCTGAGGCCCGGCCGCTGCCGCTGTTTCCCCCCTCACTGGGGAGCGCCGGTGCCTGAAGGCCTCAGGGGGTTGTGAGGGGGTGGGGGAGGCTCCGGGCCTCGGGGTCGCCGCTGCCCCGGTTGTGGTGGTGGTGACCGGGGGGGGGGTGGGGGAGGGGGTGCCCGCAGCCCCTGACCGCGCTGTGCTTTTCTCCCCCCGCAGCCATGGAGTGCCGAGACAAAGCCGGCGGCCCCCCGCGGAAGCTGGTGCAAGGTGAGGCTCCGGGAAGCGCAGCCACGAGGCGGGCGGCCCGGCCCGGTACCCCCCTCCCGCCCCCCCCCGGGGGCCATCTCACAGCGCCCCGGTGTGTGGCTGGGGTCTTCCTTCCCTTTTCTCACCCCCCTTTCCCCTTCCCCGTAACTCGTCCGCCGTGGTTAAAGAGGCGCACGCTCTTTGTTTCAGCCCGCCTGCCGTTCAAACGCCTCAACCCCGTGCCGAAGGAGAAGTACGACGCGGAGCACGAGGTCAAGAAGGTGAAGAGCTCGCAAGGTTTCGCCCCGAGCACGGATCCCGCTGCGGACACGTCGCGCGCCTCCGTGGACAACGTGGAGAACGACTGCCAGCTGAACGAGGACGGGAATTTCGGTCCCCAGCTCGTTAACGGAAAGGGTCCGTTAGATCACTTTATCCAGAAGAACACAAAGGATAGCACAGACCAGACTGTAGTCGCTACTGACCCTGCAAGTGACTCTAGCCATAGACTGAGCGACGGCCTCGGCTCTGATTCCGAAGCGTCGTCATCCGTAGCTAGAACTAACGGCACGCTAGGAAAAGGAACGAGCGAACTGAGTTGCCCAAATTCCACCCAGAGTAGCCCCACGGACGACTCGGTGGGGACTGGTGCGCAGCGTGAGGCTGCGGTGAGCCAAGAGGAAGAGTTGGTAGCTGACCTCCAGTCGTGCTCTGGGTTAACGAAGTGCAACGACTTGGAAAACGCCAAGGTTAATCAGGGCAAACTGAAGGATATCATATTTGAGGGGAAGATGCCCGTGGTGCTGCTGGAGGATATTATGACCGCCAGATCCCCCCAGGTCACTTCTCTGGACGGAAGTGTCACCTCAGAGAACGAGACTGCGGAATCGTCCCATGAAGGAGACTCTGTACTTACTAATTCCTCGCTAAGCTCTCCCTCTGTGAGCTCCCCCGAGGCACAGCCTGCTGCAGAACCCAAGAGAAATACCAGTCCTTTAGCTTTCTCCACGCCCCTTAGGAAGGTTGGTCTCTTTTCTCGGGCTCTTTAAAACTGGTTACCCTGCAGCTAGGTCGGATGGCTTCCTGCGATTGCCCTGAGAGGGATGGCCAAGATACAAAGCTTGTGAGCAGCGTGTGGCAGGTGGTGTCTGTAATTAATGATGTCACTGAGTCGCTGCCATTTTGACTGCTTTAAATTGGGTAGCTCTAAGATTTTAGATCTTGCTTGGCTCAGAGCTGCTATGCTTGCACAGCAGGAAGGCAACTTGAAGCTCCATGACAGGGTCATTTTTATAAAGTGGCCATGAATGCTTCCCGAATGATTTGGTAAATGGGACGGGAGCAGTGTTCAAAGGGTTTTGTCCAACAGGTGATGGCCTCCAGCCTGTCCTCCCTGAGCTGCTGTAATTACTGTGAGAACGCTCACCCCAGGCAGACTTCAGCACCGGTCTGTGAGCGGGTTTTGTTTCGGTGAGGATGCAGCTCAGTGAGGATGCGAAGTGGGGATTGCTCTGGTGGGGGCCCAGTGCTCAAACTGGGGAACGGAGCGTTCCCAGAGCAGCCGAAGCTCACCTGAAGTTAGGCCGGGGGTGGCTGGCAGTCCTGTTTGGTTTTCTCAACCATATAATTAGAGGAAAACCAAGGCAGGGATTCTGAGCTGGGGATTTAAGATGTGGTGCAGGGCGGCCAGTGGCATGGGGCGGGTGGCAGGTTGCTTTGCTGCTTCTGCCATCCCCTGAGAACTGCCTTCTGCTGCCTGAAGCCCTTTAAGAAAGATTTTCATCAGCTAGCCCACGGGGATTTGAGGAGAGACTGGACCAGACCCGAGGGAAAACCTCAACGGCCTGGAGGAGGTACCAAGGAGTTAGCTGGGACTTGGAGCTCTCAACGGGCTCGGTCTTCCTTCTGTTGTGCTGATTTTCTCAAGAAGCATTATTTGTTTTTGGGGCTGCTAAAACTTGCAGTCTGACTTCTTGAAAGTGCACACACAAACTCAAGCAGACGTGGAATGTTTCCAGTACAGCAGAACCCCCAAAAAAAGTACTTGATTCCAGGTGTAAGTAACCTGGCAGTGCAGCCGAGTTCCTGGTTTCTCGTGGTGTGAAGCACAACCTGAGGTGGCTCACGGTCTGCTTGCCAAAATGGGAAGTGTGCGCATCGATCTGTAGTTGTCTGTCCTCATCTGGTTGTTTTTCAAGGTGGAAACAGCTTTTGGTAACCGAGAGCTCCTAGTTAAAAGCACTCTTACTTCCGCCAGATAAGTACAGGATCTCCTGATACAGCTCTGCACCGTGTAAACCTCGACGTCCGAGTATAGAAAACAAAGCTTTTGGTCTGCTTTGGTTTCTTAACCCCAGGGATAAACATTTTACCTTCTGCTGAGAATGGCAGGAGGAAAGGAAGGGGTGGGTGTGAGAAACCAAGCCAGAATCTGCTGAAACAGACTGGCCCAAGACCTAACGTGTCAGTGAGCAGCACCGTTTGCTCTTCAGACACCAAGCACCTTTCAGCCTTTTCTTTCTTTATTTTTTTTTCCCCTGTAAATAATGGCTGGAGGAGAAATGACAAGTGTGACCCGGGGGGAACTTCAGGATGCGCTGATCCTAGTGGAGGAGTCAGGGGGCTGTGATTAGGAGGAGATAAAAGATGAAAAGTCCTCGTATTCAGGAAATTCTAGCTAAATATCCTGGCAAGTGTAAGTGGTAGGATCAAGGAGAAAAAAGAAAGTTGGAGTGAAAGGAATTGACTTTATTTACTGTGCTATAATTAAATGTTATGCTCCCTGTCACGCTCCCGTGCTTTGTAGCAGCTGCAGCCTCTGTTTGTTTTCGTGCACGTGGTGTCACACTGCAAGGGAGATGCTTCAGGGCTGAGAAACCAGAGGGGTTTGTCTATGCAAAACTCGGTAACACGAGGACTGAATGGAAACTGAAACAGACAGGCTGAAATGGAAATTGGTGAGATTTGATGCCTGAGCTGTGTTCTGATCCCCTGGACTGAAGGGGTTCTGATGGTGCTGAATATACTGATCGGAAGGAATAAGGGTAGCATCATGCAGGTGGAGCTTGCTGGTCTTTGTAGGAGTTCTAGTGTCGTGGAGGGAGTGACGTGAATCTCTAAAACTTGCATTTTGTGTTTTCAGGTACCTCAGAAATTCCCCAAAAGCTCTGCAGAGAAGGAGAAGCTGAGATTGCAAAGAGTAAGGCCTTTTCACTGACATAGCAAACTAACCTGCTGTGCTTTTGCATTGAATAGTAAGCAAAGCCCTTTGCGTTTCATTTCGGGCCACTTAAAACCTCTCTTTTTCCTGCTTTCCTGACTGATGAATATGGAGGAAGCTTAATGCATGCAGTTAAAGTGCTCAGCGTGTTCCACAGCCCCTTAATGCATACATAACGACGTGTGGGTGGCCTGCGCTGCATTCCTGGCCACTTCAGGAAGATATTAAGGAGCTGGAAATGTTGCTGCCTGCTTGTCAAAATGCTTTTTGAGATGTTTTTTTAACAAACCCTTCCAGAGAGAGTAGGTGCAGCCCGCGAGGCGCACAGGTGAGACCCTCAGGAGCCTCGGGTTAGGGCTGGTTCCTGCCTCGCCGTCCTCACCCCTCTGCCTCTGAGCCACAAAACCGTTCCTGCTCCTCGTTAAGAAGCGAGGCGAGCGGGCTGCTGCGCTTAGGGCTGCTGAGGAAACTGTTGGGTGTCGCTGC